TATTCTATTCTATTCTATTCTATTCTATTCTATTCTATTCTATTCTATTCTCTCTCTCTCCCTCTCTCTCTCTCTCTCTCTCTCTCTCTCTCTCTCTGTATCTATCGTTCCTCCGGGCCTGCAGGGGCCGCTGCTTCCGATGGGAGCCCAACCTCCCCCCCCCCCCCCCCAGGGAGCGCCTGCGCGGGGGCCGCCCCCCCCTGCGTAGGCAGGGCTCGCCCGGCGTTGGGGTGCGTCGCGTCGCCGGGGCGCATGCGCGGAAGCTGCACCTAGCGGGCATCGGCCATGGCTGAGTGGACGCCTGCCCAGGTGAGGGTCAGCCATGGGAGGGAGGGAGGGAGGAAGGGGAGGGGCAGAAGGGGGAGTCCTGAGATCCAGGTTGGCTTTTGAGGGTGGGTGGGTGGGTTGGGGAGGGTGTCTTTAGATGCTGAGCTGCAGCCTCTTTGGGGGAGCCCTGAACCCCGGCAAGAGTGCCCCCGAGCATGTGCAGAGTGCACAGCCTTTGCAGCAATGCCCCAAGCCCCACCCCACCCTACCCCCAATTTGGTAGGGGGGCTCTTTAACCCCCAGATGGGATGCCCTCTCTTTGGGGACCCCCCGAACCCCAAAGGGCGGGGTGGAGATGGCTCCTTTTTGGGTGGGGGTCTCCCCCCCAAAAAGGGAGCCGTTGGGGGAACTCCTGAGCATGTGCAGAAGGCATGCAAAAGAAAAAGGATCTTCCTTGGGAGGGGGGGAGATGGCTCCTTTTTTGGGAGGGGGCAGGCTGGATTTGGGGGGTCTTTAACCCCCCCTCTTTGGGGACACCCGAACCCCCTTAATTGACAGCTTCAAGTGGTGGGGCAGGAGGGTTCCTGAGCATGTGCAGAAGACTCAACAATACACCAAGCCCCTCCATTTTGGGGAGGGGGCTGTTGGGAGCAGCAGGCAGGATCCCTCTTGGGAGGGGGGAGAGCTGTCAATTTGCTTCTTTTTGAGGAGGGGTCTTTAGGGGGGCATTGGGGGGACATGGCTGGCTTTTGGGGTGGGGTAGGGGCTCCAGAAGCCCCAGCTGGGCTGCTGCCTCTTTGCGGACCCCCTCTCCCCGAACTCCTGATTGACAGCCTCAAGGGAATGTCAAGGAGGCCCCTGGGCAAGTGCAGAAGGGATTCAAAAAAAAAAAAAAAAGAACCCCCGTTGGAGAAAGGGGGATGAAGTTTGCCCTGCAGTTGTTAAATGAGTCACCCGGTTGTTAAGTGAATCGGGCTTGTCAGAAAGTTGCAAAAGGGGATCGGGTGAGTCCGGCACACTGCAAGCATCGTAGATACGAGTCGGTTTGCCCAGCTTCCAGATTCTGATCATGTTGACCATGGGAATGCCACGACGGTCGTAAGTGTGAGACACGGTCCTAAGTTCCCCTTTGTTCAGGGCCGTTGTACCTTGCAACAGTCACTAAATGGACACACAACTGTCATCAATACGAGACACTTGCCAAGCGTCCAAATTTTGATCACGTGACAGTAGGGATTCCGCGATAGTTGTAAATGCAAACAATGGTCCTAATTGTTGATTTGG